GATTATCCCATTGTTTATAATGGCAGTAGTAAAAATTACAGATTTATTGAGGCATTAGTGGTGAAATGATTAAATATCCAGTATCCGTCAAGTTGTTGATAGTTTTTTTCCTATTATTTATTAAAAAAACGGATGAGTGTGCAATTTTGGTCCGTCCAATGATTCCGATGGTGTAGGTTTAGTGCACTTTAGCGGGATGGATATTCAGCAAGATGTACATATATAGTAGATTGGATTTATGATACTGCAGATATTAACCTTTATGATATAAGGATTGAAATACCTATACAAAGTAAAATCTTCAAGCATCCTTTGATTAAAAATACAGGTCATGTTCATATAGTGGTTAATGTTACTCAGAGGTAAAGGGAAATGGACACAGTACAGCTGCTGAGACCACATATTTACTGTTACATGATAAAGATAAAGTCCACAACACCCTTACACAGCAAGAGTTCTCAATGTCTATAAGTTGGCATGAAATGCCAATAAAGGGAATAAATAAAGTAGGAAAGGTTAGGTTTTGATTTTGGGGTTCCAATGATACCCCAGTTTTTAGGTATGTGTGAATATATAAAAAATATATACCCCAAAAATCTGGTTTTAGGACCATCTCTGGAGGGTGTCACTCTTGTTAACAAATACCCACATAGCCGTATGGTTCAAAGAAAATTTTGCATGTAATTGACAGAACAACAAAATTTAAGATGCTTTTCATCTTTGGCATTTGTTGTGTTACATGTTATGGCAATGGATTTGCATCCGCCATGGACTGGTGTCAATCCTCTCTTTAAGGAGCTTTTGTATGTGGGTGTGAGTGCCCACGGGTATGGCTGGGGTGCTGGAGATTGATGGGGAGAGCTGGGGTGGCAACCAGGCCTGGGTAGGCCTGGTTGCTTGCTGCTGTGTCTTGCTCAGGTGGAGAATCGTGAGTGCTGAACTTGGCCCGGGCGACAGAGCTTAAGTAGGGCAGAGCTGTGCTAGCTACCTGGGAGTGAGGGGAGCCTGCGGACCAATGGGCGAGCCAGGAGCTGTCCATTCTCATCCAATCAGGTCTTGGCATTAGTCATCGAGAGGCGGCTGATGGTGAGGTGTATGAGGAAGTGGCTGATGGACCTGGATCCAACCTGGGAAAGTATGATGTGCTGCAGGTTGCAGGGATCAGCTGCAGGTACTCCCCCTCCAGTGAGGGAGCTAAGCGAGCGAGTGATAGCCGTGTTACTCCAGAAGGCTAGGTGTTTGTGTCACTCCGGAAAGTCACTAGTATGGCTATGTCTCTGTAGTTGATTGATGTTCCGTTGGTGGCGACGAGCTTCTGCAGGTCATTGACAGCAGCTTGTCTGTCGGTCTGCGTTGCAGGAAATATGGAGAGGAAAGCTCCGGTATCGATGAGAAAGTGCTTGCCGGATCTCTCGTCTTGAACGTGGAAACCGTTGTGGGGGTCAGTTGACTGCGTTGATAGGGGGGGCTGGTCTATCGCGTTTTTTAAATAAAGGAAAAAAGTCACGGAAAGCATCACTCACAGCCGTAGGCCACTCGGTGCTACAGAAGCTTATTGAACTTACAGATTTACACATCAAAATGCCATGGTCTGGGTGCTTTGTCCTCTCGGAATGGCAAACAAACAAATCTCCATCTTGTATAATTTGGCATGATATAGAACTTCCAGGCTTCCTTTTCAAATCATTGTCAGATAAGATCTAGTGTATACTCTGTCTGATCAGGATGTATATAGATGTGAAGGCCATAGTATCTTTTATTGTCTTAATTCAGACTATTGCATAAATAAAAAATGACATGTTAACATTGCAAATAATTACTGTATTGAAATTACCATGTTAAAATCTTTAATGAACCATTTATTTTTTTAGGATTAAACTTCATAAGTTCAAGTCTGCACGACGCTCTTTGCAAGAGGTTGATACGGCAGTGAAGGTTGTTCATCGCAAATGGGGCAATAAAGGACCCATGCCAGAGCCACTTTCCAACTACATGGATGTAAGTTCCGGATTAGAAAGAACATTTAGTTTAAATAAATATATGGAGGATGGCAAGACATTTATGTGTTTAATGTTTGCAATGTTTTATTTTTCTTAATACAAAAGAACTGATAATGCTTATATATATTTTGATTAGAAATAATAAAACCTGAAATTGATGTACATCCTAACCAGAAATAGTAAAAATTGAATAATACAAAAGTGCATTCTGCTATTATGATACAGATAACCTGTTATTGCTATTAAATTTTCATTATAATTTTAGTGGTTATTTGGTCTATGTTTGGTACTTGGTGAAACATTATGCAACTTAATGCCTTTAATTATGCTTCCAGGCACAGTACTATGGACCCATTACCATTGGTACACCCCCACAGTCCTTCAGAGTGGTGTTTGATACTGGATCCTCCAATCTGTGGGTGCCTTCTAAGCAGTGCCACTTTACGAATATTGCTTGTTGTAAGTATTGTAGATTTTTGTTCTTGTTAATCATTGTTGAG